CCCCTTAAAAGCAAAGATATCCAACTTCTTTTTTGTGCTTATTGGCCACTCAGCTTTTTCCTGGACATTTACTCTCCATTTTTCCCTAACTTAGGCATAACGGTTCTGTAATGTGCAATATAATCTTTAGCAGGTCTGCAACAAATTCAGCACTTCTGGAATGCCTTAAACAACTCTGTGCCTGCAATAAATGTTTCAAGTGCATGCAGTAAATTTGTGTAGTTCCAGCACTGCTTGACTAACTGCTTGGTGCAGGTTTCCTGTGTGTGTTGGAGGCACAGCCTTCCTGGGGTGCCAAACCTGCTGCACCAGTACAGAGTGATTGTTTTCCAAATATACCATCTATCTGTCGTGTGTGGCATCGTTAGGGATTTATTGCCTGAGGAAGTTAAGGATCAGGGTCAGGGAGGATATCAGTTTACAGAAAGTTGTAGCTACTTTGAGATCAGTTTAAAGCTGGTGCTCTCCCAGCCCCAGGAGCAGCCTTGGTAACTGAAGTATATACATATGGTTCACAGGCTGCAGATCGATCAGCCCAAATTTAGAGCTTGTAGTGCTACCTTGCAATTAGACAGCACAGATATTTGAGCCCAACCAAAGTCCCTTTGAGGGTCACACACATGAAGAGAGGTCCAAGCTTTACTGTTGACAAGGTACAGCACATGCATAGTACAATTATCCTGTGGTCCTCTGAATTAAATTTTGTGCTTTAATGTGTAAGGTTAAGTGTTCATGTTCTCTGCTTTAAATTGTCCCTTCATTTTAAAATTCATGAAATGCTTGAAGTTGGAAGGGACCTCTGAAGGTCTTCTTGTAACCCCCCTGCACAAGCAGGGCCACCCAGAGCCAGTTGCCCAGGCCAGTGTCCAGGTGGCTTTTGACTATCTCCAGGAATGGAGGCTCCAGAACTTCTTTTGGTAACCTAAAGTGAACTGACATTTCAGGTTATCTTTGATAGTTTAGGCATGAAATCAGTGGAATAGAATAACACTGTACTTGTAGTATTTCCCCATGAGAAATTTGTAATGTAAAAGCATAACTACTGATTGAAAACAGAAGTCTGTCTAGCCTAATATCCTGTGTTTGGTAGTTTCTGTAAACAGATGTGTATAGAAGAGCAGGACATTCACATGAATGCTTCCAGTTTTTTGAGTCTTCAATGTTTTTCTGGCCGAAATCATTCTGAGCCATATTTGGTTCCTGTTGAATAAGCAAACACTAACAAGCTTCTTTTCTCTATATTTATATGATATACTTGTGAAATTTTAATGTCCTTTGACAGGAATACTTTGCACACATTCAAGTATTTCTGCATATTCAGTATGTACATTTGCAAGCAGAAAACAAATTGACTGAATGAAGAGCAATCTCATTTTCTTTGTTCTGAATTATGCTGCTCATGGCTTGATAACTCTTGTGCTATAGTCATGTCACAAAAGATAGTGAGCAGTCCCTTCCCTTTTATACCTGCTTGGATATTCTAGTCACTCAGAAACATGCAGTGTATTCTGTAATGCCGTTTTCAGAGCCTTTTTTTTTTTGGGGTGGAATCTTACTTTAATGTTAAAGTGCTAAATTTCTTTCAAAACGGTGCTGACTAGTGATTGGGTTTTTTTTAAAGCCTAAATTGTACAGGTCTGTAATTGAAGATGTCATCAATGATGTCAGAGAAGTTTTTCTGGATGAAGGAGTGGATGAACAAGTTCTTATGGAACTCAAAACAGTAAGTTTCAACTTAAAAGTTCTTTTTAATAGACCGGTACAGCAGTTAGTTTTCAAATCTAGACTGTTGTATGCAGTAGAAATAGTAATTTTTAGTAAATTGTGTTGTATTGATCTGTGTATGTGTAGCCCCATATCATTTGAATTACACTGCTGTGAGAGGTTTGCTCACCTTGTTTGCTTTCTCTGATCTGACATGTCAAACTTGACGTAACCTAACAGCACTCATTTGAATTCAGTGTTATTTTAGTCCCCAAAACATGACATTTTTACAAAAGAGAAGGGAGAAATGTTTATTTTAGAGGCAGACAGTTCTTAAGATTTCTCTGCAGGAGAAATAAAATGCCTTTTCTGCTTGATGGTTTTGTCTTTCTGAAGAAGAGGAGTTGTATCGTCAAGATTTTTTGCATGTGTGGTTTGCAGAAATACTGTTTTCTGGAGGGTAGTACATAATAAATTACACTGTGTGCCTCACACTTCACTGAAGCTCTTGGGTTCAGAATCGTTTACATAGGGTAGGTTTGAACTGTTACCAAGGGTCCACAATAAAGGCAGGATTTTAACCTGAGCTCTAATGGGTCTCCTGTGGCCTTCTTCAAATTCTTCCTGAGTAAAGGAAACCCTTCAAAAGGGAAGGGAAAAGGCAGAAACCCCTCCCCCCCCCAAACGCAAACCAACAGGAATAAAGTAGAAGGAAACTGGTAAAGTAGATGCCTGCTTATCAGAGTGCCTTCTTCAGAGAGCCTGATGTCTCACAGTGTTTTTGAAGTATTAAAAAACGAATGGAGAGGGAAGCAAATTTTCTAGGCATAAACAGGTGAAGACTTTTTCCCATGAAACTGTGAGCTGTCTTGATGGACACACAGTGAGAGCTATAAAAGCTCTTTGGTGTTTGTGTCACAGACATGTTCTGCAAATGATGTAAGAAAAGATTAATGAGGAAAGAGACAAGAAGGAAAATGAAGTATTGAAGGGGAAGGGAGCCTTAAGCAGAATTTGAAATCATGAGTCCTGAGTGCCTGCAGTCTTTTTACTCCCATGTATTACAGAATACTTGTGTTGCTTTCTTTTTGCAAGACCTGCTTTTTTGTGTCTGTGACTGTCCTTTGGAGACATGTCAGCTGGCATTAAGAACTGAAGGGCTGCAAAAGCTGAATTTGACACTGGTAGAAATTGAGTAAATGCTCGTAGAGAGGCATTATGTTAGGTGTATCTTCTGTTGAAATGTGTTATGAGGTAGTGTAGTAGTCTTTCAGCAACTTTTGTTGAGGAGTTACAAGAACAAATGACTTGGGGAAAGCTGTAATAAAAAATAAATTTTTTTGTGTGTGTGTGAATATAGAGGTAAGAAAGAATGAATGTAGAGAAGTGGAAAACTTGAGGGCTAATTTAAAGTTACCAGTTTATCTCTATTTGTACTTCTATTAGGGTTGTTATGAAACTCACATGGGAAAGAAAGAATGTTAAAGCTTAAGCTTGGACTGACAAGGGGTATTTAATTCCTTTTCTTAAAACATTACTTCTGTGGAGTTACCTCTTCAAGTTTGTATTTGCCTAGGGGCTTTTTGGGCTAAGTAGACTGCATAAAATAAACAGTGAAAACAAACTCTATTTTGGAGTAATGTCATTATATTGTTACAAATCCTGTTGAGTTACAATTGTACACAGATATTTCACTTTACTTTTCCAAACTAGCTGTGGGAGAACAAGCTGATGCAGTCCAAGGCTGTAGATGGCTTCCATTCAGAAGAGCAGCAGCTTTTGTTGCAGGTGCAACAGCAACAACAGCAGCAGCAGCAACAGCAGCATCATCACCACCACCATCACACACAACCTCAGCCACAGCAGACTGTGCAGCAGCAGTCTCAGCCACAGCAAGTCCTTATTCCAGCGTCTCAGCAAGGTCAGACTTAATCTCTAAACTCTCTGGCAAAAGACTCTCAAGTTAGTCCAACTCCTAAACGTATTCTAAATCTAGGGCAGGATGCTTATCTGATGGACAACTTCGTGTCTTTCTACTTGTCTCTATTTAATAGGTCAAGAGAGTTGTCTTGGTGAAAAGTGTCTTAGTATTTGGTCATATTCTTTAGAAGGTTTTAGAAAAGCTGAATTCTCGGTGTTCTACAGTGTAATGTTTTCAGCACCCATGAATTTAAAAATTCCATTAGCAGCTCTAAGTTCAATCCAGTATGCATACGCAGTTGACAATTTGGTCATGAGGTAGTAATGTCATTAGGAGCAAATTCTTTTGAAAAACCATTATTGTTTAGCATAACTTAATGCTAGGACATGAAAAATACATAATAGTCTGAGTATACGTAAGTGTTTTTGTGGTCTTAAGAGGTTGCATACTGTGTAGATGTGGATGTTCAAGGTATATTTTAGCTAGCTATGACAGTATTGTTTCTTGTAATTACTGTCTTGTAGAGAATTTTTCAGCAATTACAACTTCATTTGAAAACTAAGATAAATACTAATGGATTCTACTGCGTATATGCTGAGTAAACAGATCTGCCACCTGTGAAAGGCTTGATTGTGCTTTCAGTGTATTAAATTTGTGGCATAAAATATCTGTGGTAATTAGACTTCAGTCTTTTTATCAGATTTCATGGATCAGAGAACCTACGTTGTCATAGGCACAAAAGATAGATATGGGTTGATTTCCCTCTGCCATTTCTTCCCCTGCTCCCCAACCAGCCAAAACCCAACCATATATTCAACATAGAACTAGTGGTTGTGGCTTTTCTTCCCTTGGTGTATGTTTTTTGTTGTTGTGGTTGGTTTGGGGCCCTTTTATTTGTTTGGGGTTTTTTTTGGAGGGGTTGGTTTGTTGTTATTGTAGTACTTTGTATTTTGATTAGACATAAATCAGCTTTGACTGTTGGGATAAAATGAATTTGAGCATAAGGCCCGTAAATCCCAGCGGCCCCGCAGGTCCCGGCGGGAGTGAGTCGCCGCTCCCTCTAGCGGCTCCTTGGCGGTGTAGCCGCGACTGCTGACCAGGCTTCCTTCCACCCATAACGAGGTCCCTGCCCTCCTCTGGGTGTGTTAGGTCAGAATAAGGTTCTGCCTACAGTAATACATTTAAAGCTGATTTATTTCAGCCCAGTATTGTGACTTATGACCAGGTGACAATGTGGAGGCTAAATGAAACTGGGATATCAAAGCACTTTAATCACAGACATGCACTCCTATGAATTACTTGACTTCGTTGTTCCATGGTGGAGATGGTCCAGTAGTTCCTTCCATGACCTGGTGCAGTCCCAGGGAGAGATCAGGATGATTGGCATGGTAATTCCTGGTGGCCACTGTGTGGTTCTGACACAGGTTCTCAAGATTTCCTTAAGCTCTTTTGCCCTGAAAGTTGGAGAGATGCCCTCAGGTCTTGGTTGTGGGGCCTCCTACCTGAGAATATTTTCCAGAAGCTCTTATCCCTACTATTCTTAAGTGTCCTTTGTTACAGGATTGGATGGAGAATAGCTTGTTGATGATTAATTCATTCAGGTTGCTCTGTCATTTTCCAGTTTACTGTTCTGATAATAGCACTGGCAACCTGCTTGTTCCATAGGCTGGCACACTTGCACTTCTAGATGATCAGCAGATTGTTTGTAAAATTTAGACTCCTATTTATTTTAGCACACCAAAACTGTTTCGTTGTGTGGGACAGGAAGACAGTGAAAATCATGGGCTAACAGCAATGCTAACTAGACCTGACTCAAGCTGACTGCACCATCCTGTTACTGTTCATCTTGCAACAGTCCTTGTTTAAGTCTGTTTTAAGAGTTAACTATTTTCAGTTGATGTTTTTGAAGAACTCTGATACTGGACATCATCAAGTCTATAAACATTTCACTAATACCTATAATTTCAGAAGTATGTTTTAAAGCTCGCTATACCTAGGGTCCGAATAGGTAACCGAAGCCCTTGAAATAAGATCTGTAAAGGCAAAATAGTTGTATCACCTCTCAGAGCTGCTATTGTACATTGTCTTGAGAGTAAAACTTAGTAAGATCAGAGACTGCTTAGTAGTTGTTTTCGTGATGAAGCTCAGCTGATGTTTGGGTGATGTTCTTTCAAAGTTACTCTGGCTAGGATGTTATTTTGGACAGATTGTGCATTTTTCATTAAATGCTATTTTTTGTTTCTAGCACCTCAGCAGCAGGTTATTGTGCCAGATTCCAAGCTGATACCACACATGAATGCATCAGGCATGGTAAGAGAAGCAGAACTTTATACAGGCATACACTGTCATTATGTAAGTTGTTTTGATTAAACAGTAAACACAAATCTGGTATTAGACATCAGATGCTTGAAAGTAATTTAGGACACATTGGTAAAGCTGTTTGCCATCTCTGAGTTTTGCTGCTGCACTGACAATATAGGGGCAGTAATCCATGACTTCAGTCTGATAACAAATCGAGGACTTGCCTTGATCCTCAGGTTTAAATGTGTTTAACCAAAACTTATTTTTAAATCAGAAATTGGAGTACTGTTGGTATGAATCTGCATCACAATACACTCGTATACTGACACAGCACCCTTAACTGGTGTGAGCATACTGTGTTGGCTAGATGTATGAAAAAAACATTAACTGTTCTGAAACTTAAGTTTATGTCAACTGAGAGAATATTTAGCATTTCACATAGATCTTTTCTGGGCACATTAAAGTGATTCACTAATGTAATGGCATATAAAACCGAGCCTGGTCATTTAGCATTTTCTTGCAGTTTTTATTTCTAGAGGTTAATTTTGGTTATTTTATCTTGCTTTGAATGCTCTGGCTTAATTTATAGAAAAATAAGTAGTTTGCAAAGCCATGAAAACAACAGCTAATACAAGTTAAATATGTGTATTAAGACCAGAATTCATTCCATTCTTACCACTTTTATGGAAAAAGCCCATGAGACAAAGTTTCATGATCAGTCAAAGCTGCAGCAACTTGTTTAGGCTTCATTTCTCCATTACCTGATGATCTTTCTACAGCAAAGAACCTAAACTTTATTACTTCGATAGCATGATTTGCACACAGGCTGAAAGTACGTAAACATCCACCTTTTTCTTAGGTGTTTTACAGCCATTTCAATGGGATTCATAACTTTCCAAGTCCAATAATTAAATTTTTTTCCTGTCTTAGTTAGATCTTGTTGATGGGTATCACAAAAATGAGTATGCCATGGTTTTTAAACTCTGCTGATGTCAAAATGCAAATGAATTGTGTTCTGCAGAGGACTACTGTTCAGCAGATAGTCACACTCAATTTGGAAACATTGTTTGTGTTTATTGGAAACATGTAAGTTTATGTAAAACAATGGATCTGACAGACCTTGAACAGCTTGGAAGGCAGAGAGTAATGAGGGTTTATTCATGGCTTTGTCTGGGATGTGACTGTGCAGCCAAGGAAGTTTCAGTTTTGCTTGGTGATCTCTAATTTTGGCATTTGTAACTACTGTATTACCAGCCAGCATGGGGAGATGCTTATAAACAGGAAGTTTGCACTCTATCCAGTAATAAAGTTGCATTTCTTTCAGTAGCAAAGAGTAATTGGCCATGGTTCCCTTAAAATAGGGAAAGGGAGGCTTTTCTGTAGGCAGCTGAAGTTAGGTGCTTGAAATGGAGAGGCCTCTAGAGAAGCTCATTGCCCCCTATGAGTTAAAGACTTAATACAGATTTTTGTGTTTGGAGTTCCCATAATTGTGTTGAAATTCAGTTTCCTTACAGGTTCAAATCATTATCCATCAAGTCTTCCACTTTCCCTTGGAACCAGCTGTCTTGAGAGGAAAAAAATTAGTCATTCAGTGAAGTCAGTACACTGTATGAGTATATTCACTCAAATGAGTTGTGCTATGTGGGACTTGAGATGCAAGTCATTTATAGAATGAAGAAAAGTGCAAACCTGATTACTACTCCTTGTGAAAACAAGACAGGCAAACATACTCATTCCTTGAGTACCTTATGTTTCTTCAGATTTGTAGGCCTATGTCCTTAGCTGCTTTGAAAAAGTGTTACGAAAATTGCTGCATGAGCAAGTCAATGTACTGTATTAGATCAGCAGACAAGGCAGAGGGGAAAAAGAATGTGCTGAGCTTGCAGATAAACCAAGAAACCACATGGAGTTGAGTTAGGGTGTGATATTTAGTGATTTGCTTCCATCCTCTTCCTATTAACGAAGAAGGAAAATAATTTTCATACAGTATAATGTAGAGTTGATTAATGCCTATGTTTCAATGACTGCAGAAGCTTGTGTGCAAACATTGTAAATAGCAATAAAAGGTACATGTGTTCAGGCAGTATGTTGTGAGATGAAATGCTGGCAATAATACCTCTGGTTAAAGATCTTTTCTTGTATTTCAGAGTGCTGCAGCCACAGCAGCTACATTGGCTCTCCCTGCTGGTGTTACTCCAGTTCAGCAGATCCTTACAAATTCAGGTAACTGTCTTAACATTGAGAATAAACAGTAGCTTTGAGGGTACTTGGGAGGGAGAAATTCTGGGGTTTACTTCCTGTTATTTACTGTTGAAAAGCAGACTCTGGGAATCCACCCTGACAAGGTAGTGCAGTCTCTTCACTAGACTCTTGCACTTCTTTGCTCACTGACTTGCTAGTCACTGACTCTATGGAACTTGTGGTTCTGCCCTGACAGTTGCCATGGGTTAAATTCTGTGCAAGTTTTCCCCACTTGGAGAAGTGGATGAAGCACAAGGGCAGGTGTTGCTGTCCCTGCCCTTAGTGTATTTCTGAGCTTTGTGATGCATGATCTGAGCTCAGGTACTAGACTGGTTGTAAAAGCAGGATCACTTTGTCTGTGACTTCAGATGAGGAGTATCTTAAGGTCTCTCATACCTGCTAAGCACACAAAGTGGAATTTCTAACTTTGCTAGCAATGCTAATTATGCCATACATGTAGAATATAATTACATGTTACTTTGAGCAGCATATCTGATGCTTCTTGTACTTTTGTCTTGTGCTGATTTATTTTTGGATTGCATACCTCATGATCATATTTAGATTGTAAACAACCCTAGTAGTTCTTTGTTTCTGGCACTGCCACTATAGCATAGTATCTCTTCACTGACAAAAGTGATGCATTTTAATGTTTCTTTCTTAATTGCCATTTGTATTCTTCCAGGAAACAAACTTCTAAATTAAGGTAATTTAAAAAGTGAACTTGTACATTGATAAATTTGATACTTATTTTATTACAGGCCAGATCCTCCAAGTAGTCAGAACTGCAAATGGAGCTCAGTATATCATTCAGCCCCAGCAGCCAGTTGTGCTACAGCAGCAGGTCATACCACAAATGCAACCTGGTGGAGTACAAGCACCTGTTATTCAGCAGGTAAAGGAAAATTTTTCAATAGGTACATGTAAAAGGAAAAGCTTTCTAGCAATTACTAGAGAGACGTGTTTTTGTGAGCAAATTGCGATAGAGCACAGTCAGAAATGTTATATTTTTTTTTAAAAAAAGGAGAAAGTTGTGTTAAGTGTGTGTTGATGGTTTGGTTTTTTTAAAAAAAGAACAATTTTGAGATGTTGTTTTCAATGTCACTTTTATTCTTACCAAATACTGTCTGGCTGCAGTGTAAAGTTTCTTTTGTGCATCTCCTGATGACAGTTACATTACGTGCATGCTTCTAGTTTATATACTAATAAAAAAAGTGCTTATTGGTTAAAATGATTCTGAGTCACATAATACAGAGAAGAGAATATGTAAAACATGCACATAACACCCCTTGGTTATTTTAGTAGTGAATACAGTATGTTTTACAAGGATATTTGTTCAGTGACAAGGTCAGCTGCAGGTCCAGACTGTGTAAGCATTGAATTTAGCATAGTGTCATAGTTCTGCAGTTTAAGCATGCGTAACAATTTGTTAAAATTTTTTTGTAAAGGGTTTTTTTACCTGAATTAAAACATTACAGGTACTTCTGTGCTTGGAATTCAGGTGTGGCAGTAGTGATACAATGTTTTAGAATGGATAGGCAGTAGGTTTTCTTAAATTTAACAATGCAAAATGCAGAAAATGAACATCAAGTAGTGAAAGAATCATAGAATCGTAGAATTTTAGGGGTTGGAATGGACCTTACAGATCATCTACTTCCAACCCCCCCCTGCCCTGGGCAAGGACACCTCCCTATTAGACCAGGTATGTGATTCAAATTTAAATTGTGTATCTGATATAGGTGGAATATTTGTAACTCTTTTCTGTAATTAGTTCAAGTCAGATTGATATGCTTAAATTGTTTTCTTTAAGTGATGTGGTTGTCTGTTACGTTAGCAGCCACAGTACTTGCAATGATATTCCATCAGGTTTTGGCTCCTCTTCCTGGAGGGATTTCCCAGCAGACAGGAGTGATTATTCAGCCTCAACAGATCCTGTTTACAGGAAATAAAACACAAGTCATACCTACAACTGTGGCTGCCCCTACACCAGCTCAAGCACAGATTCCTGCAGCTGGTCAGCAGCAACCACAGCAACAACAGGCACAACCACAAGCACCGCTTGTTCTCCAAGTGGATGGAGCAGGGGACACATCATCTGAAGAAGAAGAAGATGAGGAAGAAGACTATGATGATGATGAAGAGGAAGACAAAGAAAAAGATGGGGGTGAAGATGGCCAAGTTGAAGAGGTAAACTTAACAGTGTTTCAGAAGACTGGAATATGGTCGTGTTTCATTTCAAATTTGTGGGTCAATATTTGAAAGGAAAATATATGCTTCAAATAATACATTTCAGTAATTTTGAGAATATAATTTATCCTTGTACTTCAGGTTCTGTACTGCACTTGTACTGCAGTGCCCAGAGTCTGGCCTGGAAACTGAAGTTCCAGACTACAATTGGGAAGGGTATCTTCTGAGGATAGAGGGTAGGAAGGAAGTGTATGTACATCAGCCTTCTGCTGGAAAGCCTAATATTCCACACCTCAAACACACATTTACTGTAGTTCATAGGCAAGAATGTAAGTAATCAAAGTAACAGCTCTAATCTTAGTAATTGTCCTAACGTTTTGCATGTGTTTCTTTCAGGAGCCTCTTAACAGTGAAGATGATGTGAGTGATGAGGAAGGACAAGAACTGTTTGATACAGAAAATGTTGTTGTGTGCCAGTATGATAAGGTAATATCTGCAGAACAGAATCTAAGAGTTCTCCTTTCTCTGTTCTTCCTATCAAGTCATAAGTTTTAAGCAATATCTCCGTGACTGTTAAGTACAGGTAGATCTGTAAAGATTATAATGTGAATGCGAATGTAGGAATTAGCTATTGTTTTTAAGACTGGTTTGTGTGCCATGTTTGCACTAAACTTGGTAATGAGCAAAGGGTTAGAAAAGTTTGGCTGCATTTTGTTTCTTCATCATGTCTTTTTGTGACCTTGAACAACAGGACAGTCCTTTGGGCTCAGGAGAGGTGAACTTTTCTAAGTTTGTACATTTGTTGTGGTTATGAATAGAAGGAATAGTCATCAGGATTAGACTTGTGGAAAACTGTGCCTTGATTACTATAAATATCTCCTCTGGATGACAGAATAGTTACCAAAGGAAAATGTTGTTTCTGTTCTGTGCTATATGAAATGGCAGTCTGGAATGCTTGTGCTTGTTTTGCTTTAAATTCTGCTGAACTCTCTTGCCTCCTCTGTAATGACTAAATTCTTGCATGTTTTCCCTGGAATATACAAGGATTCATCTGTGTCTGAAATCTTTTTAATGTGTCTAGAGGATATCAAACACTTATTGGCTTAGGTAGTGTGCAGAAAGATTATTCAGTGTGGATTTTCTTTCCTATGCTAGATTAAGAGGACTATGATGAATAAGGATCTGTTTTAAAGCAGAGGGAAAGCTGTCAGCTTCTTGAATAGAAACTCCTACGTTGTGAAGATTGGTTTTGTTAGAAAATGTTCAGTTATGCCCAGACTCTGCTTAGACTTGCCATCCAATTCAACAGGAATTTAAGATAGAAGAAAGTGGTAACAGTATCTGCATCCCAGCCTGTCTGCTCCAGACTGTAATCCAAAACTGTTTGTTTTGAGACATTTTGTGAGTAAGGATAGTGAGGGACCTCAGAATAGCAGTCAGAAAAGCTTGTTGGGAGCTGCTTAAGCTGTGCAACAGGAACCACTCTGAAATCCTCAGCCTCTTCTAAGTTAAGAATGGGATCTGAGTGGGGAACAGTACCATGGGCTCTGAAAGGACTCCCTCTTTTATCAAGCAATCATTGTACAGTTTGTCTATATAAAATACACAGGATCAGCTCAGTTCTGAGCAGTTCCCTCCTGCAGTGTCCTGCCTCAGCTGATGGTGTGTCTGGAACTGTGAGATGAGGGCAGACAGGTAGCAATTCTCATGTGGAGCATTTTACCATCTTTCTGTGAACCACAGGAGAGTGTGGTTTCTTACCAAATGGCCAGTGGAAAGTTTTTCTCTTTATTTCTCAGAAATTATTTTTATTATTCTTGAGTCCTTGAAAACTTTGTCTTATGACAGAAAGTTTCTTAAATGTGTTAGGTGATGTGTGGAGAATTGCAGAGTTTTTAAAACTATTAGTTTCATATGCTATCTCCTAGTTCTAAAGAGTGTTTCCTCTTTGCTTTCTTGGTGCCAGTTATGGTATTGCAGGCAATCAGAACCCTCCTCAGACATCTCTTTAAAGTCAGAGCTACTCTGTTGTTTTGTTGATTGTTTTTACTTTCATTCTCCAGATCTGTTTTATTCTTTATCTTATTTGGTAAGGGTAGATAAGGTTGAGGAAGGATCAGAGCTCTTCATAACACATTTGAGCCTCTGACTTTTTAAGTGGTGTAGCAATATTCTGCAAGAGTTAATGTATACTTTTTTTTGTACTTATAATTTATTTATGCATTATTACTTGTTTCTGATGCAGAGTAATAGTTCAACGTTTCCCTCCTGTTTTTAGATTCACAGAAGTAAAAACAAATGGAAATTTCATCTCAAAGATGGCATCATGAATCTTAATGGAAGAGATTATGTATTTTCCAAAGCCATTGGGGATGCAGAATGGTGAAGTTTTAAAAGACAAAACGAAAGAACTCCCTGTAATAGGAAAAAAATATAAATCAAAAGCAGGAAAGGTTGAGACTTGGATGTATACTCCAATCAAAATGTGTATCTGCACATCAGAAATAAAAGTGTTTGGAACAAAGGTAAAATGTGGCAACAAAGACACTACTTCAGATGAGCAAGCCATGGACTGTAGCAGCTATAGCATTGTCTGGGAGCTGGTTTTGTGTGTTAGGAATACCTTAATTATCAATTCTACATACAGGTACCTACAGCTGGTATTTAGCATGTAAGGCTTTGTCCCCCTGCCCCCCTCCTTGATTTAAGATTTTAAAATACTTCTTCCACTGATTGAAGGAACTATTCCCTTTGATAGATTATTAATCTGAAAATGCTTATTGTGTGTACAAATCTTTGCTTTGAACACTTCCTTTTGGTAGTGAGGATGGTCAGAATGTTACTTAAACTGCGTGCAAGCTTTGTACAGAAGGGTAAGAATTAAGGTGTTAAATTTTAAATAACTTGTATAAGGAAAATATTTTTAATTCTGATATGCTCATTAATTATTATATCTATTTGTTGTTTTCAATGCCATTCCCCATAATCAGGTTATTGTTCCTAGCAGTTACCGAATGGTAAAATGATCACTTATGTTTCAAAATTAATTTCATGTGATAGACTTTATTTAGGGCAGCGTTTTTTAAATTCTAAGCACCTGTAGCTCCTCCCCCATGAAAGTCAGATTGCTTCACTTGTTAATTATATTCTTGCTGTTTGGTGGTGGTTCAGCATCACTGAACTGAAACAAATAACAGTTTCCATTGATTTTTTTTTTTTTAAATTTTTTTTTTAAAGGGTTTGGAGAACTTTTGAATCAAATGTGTAGGTAATGCCATAATAGATGCATTCCTTTACTTACTTACGACATGTATAGTCCAGACACCCACAAAGAATTCAGCAGCCCCCAGGAACAACTAAATTTTTAATACAGAAAAATGCATAGGAGTTCTAACATCCAGGCTGCAACTCATAATCAGAGATCCACTTTACTCAAAAGTGTAGGCACAATTTAGCTGCAGCAGTTAACCTCTCTGAAGTTTCCAGATGGCATGTGATTTCATGAAGAGAGCTGCACAGTTTTGAGAACATAGATTTTGAGAGTGTCTTCAGACTGTCTTGGTAACAGGAAGTCAAGCAGTTGGGTGCACTAAAACCTTGGGTAGTCACTTTTTCATTTGCCTTTTTTTTTTCCATTTGTTTGTTTCGGTTTGGTTTTAATTTGTCAAAAGCAACTAAGTTGCTCCCCCCTCCTTCCCTTCCTCTCCTCGGAAGCTGAACACCTTTTCTTCAGGCAAAGGTCATTCTTACAAACCCTGCTTTCAGAAATGCAGTTCCTGTTGAATAAGGAGAGGGAATGGGCATTATCCTTCAGAAACTGTTGAGGAAGGAATGGTCATGTTGCTCACCATTTCAAAACAAAGTTTGCGTTTCATTGGGTGCTTGGAAAGATGATGGAAGAAGGACATGGCGAAGATAATTGTAACTCAGTTAGGGAAGACTTTAAGAAGCAGGCATTGGAACCATGACTTCTGACTTTGGTTTTTGCTTGAGAATGAAACTTCTTAAACATTCTTTAACAAAGTCACAAGTGTATTTTAGCAGTATATAATGACTGCTCTGATTTGCATTCTCTCCAATTTACTTGCCTCCAAGTGCATTCATAGTCTCAGTAGCGCGTAGAAAACTCACAACAAATTGTAAAGAGGGTTTTTTTGCTGTGATTTTTTTTTTGTACACCTGTGCTCTCATCGATACAGAGTAAAACTGCCTGTAGGCTATGTCTAGAGCCATATGGTCGTTAGAAAGCCATCTACATTCATAAGCTTTATGAAAAGTTAATTGATGATTCTTCTAATTCTTCAGTAATGGAATAATCATCTAGAGTGCATTTATAGCTTGGGGCTTCAAGGTATTTCAAACTGATCGGTGTTTGCTTTCTTCTGAACAAAGCAGATATTTTATTTTTTTACCACTGTTGACACTTCTATGTACAACTGCAATGAAATCAATAATGTACCAACTGATTCCTTCTGTCACCTTCTCCGTGTCTGTTACCGGTAAGTCTTAAGTAGTGGACTTGAGAAAAATTCCCATAACGCTGCACAACCAAACCAATAAAAGGAAAAAGATCCCTTTAGCTATAGATACCTTTTTTTATACTACTGGAACCCAGATTACTTGTACAACACTTTGTTTTCATACATCTTAGTGATTTATTTTTTTTTTCTCACCCACATACTTATCCTAGAAGCTGCATAGCCTTTCTATTTATTTTTTAAGGGGTAGCTGAACTTTAAAGGTAATTAAGCTTAGTCTGTTCTGAAGGATGTTAAAAGCTTTCTGAAGCTGCACAGTCTCTTTCAAGCTAATTGTATGATACGCTTTTCAGAGAAGTTTCTTCTTCAAATACCTGTGAAGTTTTGGGAAAGCCAGTCAAACCATGCACATACCAAACTGTGCTCTTATCGCTACATCAAGTGTTCCTTTTTTAAATCAAGAAGCATGTTTTAATTTCATTTTATTGTAGCAGCTTGCTGTAAGAATGTAGTTTGCTTAATTTTATTATTGTACTTGAGTTTTTAATCATGGTTGTAACAATATAACTGAACAGACCATTTCATTAGGTTCAAAAGAAACCATTCCTTCATTCCTTTCAGAGGGCAAGGGATTCCCATGTTCATAGTTCATAAATGATTTTTTCCCCCCCTTGGAAATAGCTTTTTATGTTTCGGTTTGGGTTTTTTGTTGGTTGTTTTTTCTTTCCCCCCCCCCCTCAATTTAAATAGTTCAGTATTATGGAAACAATGGTTTCACGAGGGCTTATGTTAAAATTTGCACAGATAATGGAGCACCTTTTTATGATGGAAAAAAAAGTGGGGAAGATAACTTCATAATTATAACCATGATGGCTGATGGAAGAAACTTGTAGAGCAACTGGGCAAAACTGAGAGTCTTGTGCCTTTTCAGTTTGCAGAATACTTGTTTTGCCAGTCTGACAAGACTTTTTTTTTTTTTCTCCTGAGAGTAAATTTTCTGCAGTGCTTCAATCAGAAAAGCAGCGTTTTTGCTCTAATTCTGTTGGGTTTTAGTGTGTGCAATCATTTTAAAACATCTAAGTGGAAAACAAATTGAAATATGTTTTCTTTTAAGGAGATAATAGAGAATTTTAGTCACATATGGAACTTTATATTGGACTATTTAAATAAAATATGTTTTTATTCCCCCTCAGTTGCTGGTTAGCGACAAGATTTCTTTGAGGCTTCATACTCCTTGTTCCTGCATTGTATTCACAAGTTGCATTTGAAGATCATTCAGTTTCCTAAACACTATTTAAGGTGATAATTGTGGTCCGAGTTTATTTTCATGAATATGACACATGATTCTGAAGCGCAGTTTCTAGAAGAGAGCAAAGAACATGTTGTGTCATGTAACAGATTTTTTAAAAATAGATGTTCTCTTATCTTTCTGCTGCACAATTTGGAGTGTTAAAGTAAACTTCATCGAGTCTGTGAAAAAATTCCGCCATTTGGTGGCAGTTAGCAGTAATTGTCACCACATAACACTACCAGAGTACAGTTTCTTAATTCCAGTGAAGGAGTTAGAGACCTTGTTAATACTGATTCAAACTCTTCAATTTGGAAAAGCTCCTCTAAAAACAATAAAAGCCCCCAAAATTTCCCCCAAAGCAAAAGCTTCTTAATAGAATGCAATAAGATGTCCAGGAAGCGAATAGTGGTTTTAGGGTCACGCACACTGGATTCATACTGGGCTGCCTTACACAGCATCATGGGGTTTACTGTGTGCCATCCCACCCCACCCACACACCCCCAGCTGAGATTAGAGTTCTCAGAGTTCGAGATTAGTGACTAAACAAGATGAAGAAACTTGCATATTGTTCTGTATTGGTGTCTGGCATTTTAAGTCTCGTTTTCCCATTGCGGTGATTGGTTGGGAAATGTGTTAAAACCAGTCCAGGGGTTTCCATGTTGTCTACTTTTTTCAGGCAGTTCATACAGTGTGTTTTTTAATTATTATTTGGTGGATTAGATGTTGTGGAACAAAAGGAGTTTTTTTAAACAGGAAGAGCTACCTTGGGTTAGCTATATGTACAGTCATCCAATGAGACATGTTCCAGAGTGCATAGGGTACCAATAGATTATGGAGTGGGGGACTATCCTTTTTTGCTGTTCTGAGCTACTATTGTCAACTGCTGTTGTACATATACTGTTATGTGTAAGGGGGTAAATATATTTATTATGTTTGTAAAATTCATTCTGTACAATTGCAGATCAAGGTTGCTCCTCTGTGATATACAGGATATTATGTTTCAAAGGCCATGCTTGGAATACGATTAGAGAACTTAGTATTTTGATGTACTAAGACCTATTTTAAGTTTAATATTTTGCCTTTGCAAAAACTTTAATTAAAGATGTTATTTAAAAATGTTTGCTACTTCATTTACTATCTTGCGTGTGCATTTGTTTCATATATGAGGCTTATGGCTACTGTATAGTAACGCTGAAGATTCTGATTTTCGTCCCACAGGTAACTTCACTGTCACCTCTTTGTTGTGTTTGCCTTGCAGACTTTCTATTTAACATCATCACAGTGTTATAAAAAAGAAATTCATGTTTTAATCTTGAGGCCAGACTTGCATATTTGTTTTAAGTATTTTCTCCCTGTGATAACTTGAGGCTTAGGTGCCGAACAAGATTGACTAAACAACTTGGTATTAGGGCCAGTGAGATCCTGGGTGCATCGGGAAGTGTGGTCAGCAGGTAGAGGGAGGTGATTATCTCCCTCTACTCAACCCTGGTGAGGCCACATCTGGAGTACTGTGTTCTGTTCTGGTCTCTACAGCTCAAGAAAGGTGAGGAGCTACTGGAGAGAGTCCAGTGGAGAGGCATAAAGATGATTAGGGGTCTGGAGCATCTGTCTTATGAGAGACTGCAAGAGCTTGGCCCATTTAGTCTAAAGAAAGGACTGAGAGGGGATCTCGTCAATACACACAAATACCCCAAAGGCAGGTGTAAAGAGGATGGCACCAGACTCTTCGGTGGTGCCCAGTGACAGGACAAGGACTAATAGCCATAAACTAAAACCCAAGAAGCTCCATCTCAACATGAGGAAGAACTTCTTTACCTTGAGGGGGACAGAGCACTGGAACAGGCTGCCTGGGGAGGTTGACCCTGCCTGGACAGGGGGTTGTACTTAGATCATTCCCCAGAGGTCCCTTCCACCCCTAACTCTTCTGAGATTGTGTGTCATCTCGATGTTGGTCCTATAAATGGAAATGCAAGACAGTATGAAGGAGTGACATGGAGAGTTCCTGGATGATAGCTGGCTGGGCAAAAAGGTTTTGTCTTCATCATTGAATCTAATGTGACAGAATTGCTTTCTAGCATAAGCAGGTGGCATCGTCTTAGTTCCTGTC